TAACTCACAGAGATTTAATTTTGATAGTTTGAGCTCCTTCCAGTTCCTTGTGTGCTGAGAGATATGCCCCTTTAAAGTTGACCCTCAAAATCGCATTTTTTGCGATTTTCAAATTTTGATACGGTTGTTCTAAAATTCGGGTTAGACTCATTTCCCACTCAATTTGACCCCCTGAATAAGAATATGAAGTCGAATTTCCAAAATGATGCACGGATTTTGAGATATATGGAAATTACAATTATAGGTGTTTCCGAAGCACATTTTCGGGCATTTTTGGGGTCGTTTCAAGACAATTCCTTGGTTGTATTTTATTTTCTTTTCTCATAGTACTTTATTTGCGAGTGTATAGTTTTCACAGTCGCAAACCTGAAGTCAAATTTTGAAAATTTTAACTACTAAGCTTTGCATAGCTATATCGTAAGAAGACATATAAATTTCACCTTCAAGCTACTTCAAAATCTAACTAAGGCATTGTGAAGAAATAATTGCCAATAATCAAAATGTGACTCACCTTAAGTCGTAAACAGTTGAGGGTACTCCTTCCTCATTTCCTCTTCCACTTCCCAAGTCATTTCCTCGACGTTGTTATTTCTCCATAACACTTTCACAGAAGCTACATCTTTATTTCGAAGCTTTCTTACTTGCCGATCTAAAATCGCTATTGGTACCTCTGCATAAGATAAATCCTCAGCGATACAAATATTTTCAATGGGCATAATAAGCAAAGGATCTCCAATGCACTTCCGCAACATAGAAATATGAAATACACGATGAACTGCTTCCAATTCTGAAGGCAAATCAAGCTTGTATGCCACCATACTAATCTTCCAAATAATCTTATACGGTCCAACGTACCTAGGACTAGAATTGAACTTCCCTTTCTTTCCGAATCGCATGATGCCCTTCATAGGCGATACTTTCAGGAAAACCCAATCTTCTACATCAAACTCTAAGTTTTGTCGGCAAACATCTGCATAAGACTTCTGTCAACACTGTGTTGTATGAAGCCGATCTCTAATAAGCTTAACCTTTTCAATAGCTTCTTGGACTAGATTGGGACCTAGAAAATCTGCTTCCCCGAGCTCAAACCAACCAATTGGGGACCTACAATTCCGTTTGTATAGTGCTTCGTAAAGGGCCATTTGAATACTAGCTTGAAAGTTGTTATTATAAGAGAACTCGGTAAGAGGTAGATATTGATCCCAACTTCCTTTAAAATCCAGCACACAAGCACGTAACATATCCTCAACCGTCTGAATATTATGTTATGCCTATCCATCAGTTTGTGGATGAAAAGCGGTGCTAAGATTTACCTCAGTGTCTAGACCCTTTCGAAACTATCTCCAAAAATGTGTTGTAAATTGAGCTCCTCGATCTGAGATAATAGATAATGGAACTCCGTGAAGGCAAAAAATCTCCTGGGAAGAAATGTGCAGATTTTGTCAGCCTATCGATAATTACCCAAATGGAATCAAACATTCATGGAGTGCGAGGCAAACCAGCGATGAAGTCCATATTTATCATGTCCCATTTCCATAACGAAAGCTCAATATACTGGGTTAGGCCTCCAGGCCTCTGATGCTATGCTTTAACTTGTTGACAGTTGGGACATTCAGCTACCATCACCATAATATCTTTTTTCATGCCATTCCACCAATAGATCTGTCGAAGGTCCTGATACATCTTCGTCGCTCCAGGGTGAGATGCATATCTAGAAGAATGGGCCTCTGAATGAATATTTGTATGGAGCTTTCCAACTGTCGGTACACATAAGCGACCCTGGTATCTAAAGACTCCATCTCCAGTTAGCTCAAATAAGGGATGTTGTTGCTGTGGAACCTTTTCCCTCAATTTCCTAAGCTCAGGATCTTCATGTTGCCGCCTTTTCACTTTACTCACAAAGGAAGTTTCTGGCATATTCTTAACGACAATACCTTCGACTCCTACTTCTACCAAGTGTACTTGCAAATTAACTAGCTGGCATATGTCTTTGTAATTCCAGACTTATCAGCTTCAACATGACTTAGAATACCCATGGACTTCCGGCTGAGCGCATCAACAACAACATTAGCTTTGTCGGGATGATATAAAATGTCAACATCATAGTCCTTTAATAATTCTATCCATCTCCTTTGTCGTAGGTTAAACTCCCTCTACTTAAGTAAATACTGAAGGATCTGGTGATCGGTGAACACATCTATATGAACACCGTATTGATAATGCCGCCAAATTTTAAGGGCAAAGACAACTGCAGCCAACTCAAGATCGTGTGTAGGATAATTCTGCTCATGCTTCTGCAACTGTCTAGAGGCTTATGCAATACCCTTACCATGCTGCATAAGAATACAACCTAGGCCAATTCTTGAGGCATACCAATAAACAACATATCCCTCATTACCATCTGGAAGAGTTAGGATAGGTGCAGTGGTAAGCCTTTTTTTTAGTTCATGAAAGCTCTGCTTGCATGCCTTGGTCCACTGAAACCTCGTTGCCTTATGTATCAATTTTGTCAGTGGTGCAAAAATAGAAGAGAATCCCTCCACAAACCTTCAGTAATACCCCGCCAAGCCTAAAAAGTTGCGAACCTCTGTTGGATTCAAGTGCCTTGGCCAAGTCATCACTGCTTCAGTCTTTTGTCTATCAACCTTGATACCCTCACTTGTAATAACATGACCAAGAAATGCTACTGAAGTAAGCCAAAAATCACATTTAGAGAATTTAGCATATAACCTGCAATCTTGGAGAGTTTGAAATACAGCTCGCAAGTGGTCTGCATGCTCAGCTTCCGACTGCGAATATATAAGAATGTCATCAATAGACACAATCACAAATTCATCCAAAAATGGTTTGAAGACCTGATTCATAAGATTCATAAAGGCTGCTGGGGCCTTTGTAAGCCAGAAAGACATGACAAGGAACTCAAAGTGTCCATACCTCATCCTAAATGCTGTTTTTGGGATATCAACTTCCCTGACTCACAACTGATGGTAACCAGACCGCAAGTCAATCTTGGAAAAGCATTTGGCACCTTGTAACTGATCGAATAAGTCATCAATCCGTGGAAGAGGATATTTATTCTTTATAGTGACTTTATTTAGTTGTCTATAGTCAATACACATCCGAAATGATCCATTTTTCTTTCGAACAAAGAGCACTGGGGCACCCCATGGGGAAGTACTTGGCCTGATAAAGCCTTTATCGAGCAAGTCCTTTAGTTGTTCCTTCAATTCTCTTAGCTCTGCAGGTGCCATTCTATAGGGAGGAATCGATATAGGTTGCGTATTAGGAAGCAAGTCTATAGCGAAATCAATTTCCCTTTCTAGGGGAATTCCTGTAATATCATCAGGGAATACCATTGGAAATTCATTCACGATAGGAATTGACTGAAGAGTCATGGGCTCCTTATCAATAACATGTACATGAACCATATGGTATATACAACCTTTAGCAATCAAATTTTGAGCCCTAAGGAATGAAATAAACTTACCCCTAGGTGTGGCTGCATTACCCTTCTACTCAAGGACTGACTCACCTGGAAAGTAAAATCTGACTATCTTTGAACGACAATAAATATTAGCATAGCAAGTTACCAACCAATCCATACCCATGATAACATCAAAATCTAGCATAATAAACTCAACTAAATTAGCGGAGGTTGGACGATCATTAATTAATACTGTACAACCCCGATAGACACGACTAGCTAAAATAGAATCGCCAACCGGTGTAGACACCTCAACTGGTTATGGAAACAACTCAGATTTCATATCAATCTTACTAGCAATAAATGGAGTAATATATGACAATATAGAGCCAGGGTCTATCAATGCGTAAACATCTTGAGAAGATATCGTCAATATACCTGTAACAACATCAGGGGATGCCTCTGAATCTTGTCGTCCTGTGAGTGCATAAAAGAGATTCTGACTACTGCTCGAACATGTATCTTTTTCACCTCTCCCTCTATAATGACCCTGAGTAGACTGTGGTCCTGGTCGTGGGACACGGACTGAGGGTGAAGATGTTGTTGTGGATCCTAAAGGCTGAGCTAGATCACCTCTGCTCAATCTCGGGGACCAACTAATAAAATGTTTTGTCTGCCCACAATGATAACATGCACCTAAACCCTGTCTACACTACCAAGTATGCGGCTTACCACACTGTGTACAATGAGGAGTGGGATGTCTTATCTGTACGGAATAATCCTATTGAAGACCTTCAAGCTGGCCTCAGCTTTGACCTGGTCCTGACGGACTATAACGATCAAACCACGGTCCCTGCACCTGTGGTGAGACACTACTCGCTGGCCGAGGTTGTTATCGATGGAAAGGGGGCATAAAATCACCATGTGGCTCCCTATAAGACCCCATAGAACGGGCCGTCTTACTCTGCTCCCTATCCCTGCGTGTATCACGAATCCGTTTAGAAAGGTCCTCTGTAGTCTGAGTGAAATCCTGTATGCGGGAAATATCTACATCATCTGATAGGGAGGCTACCCTACAATCTCTGGTCAAATGATCTGCCAAACCATCAACAAAACGATGAAATCTGGCTCTCATGGAACGTACAATATCTGGTGCATATCTTGCAAAAGAATTAAACCTGGTGGCTATAATCCCTCACACTCATGGTTTCTTGCTTCAGATTGATAAACTGGTCAAGACGGGCCTCTTGAACTTCCCGTGGCGAATAGATGGACCCTCTTACTCTGCTCCCTATCCCTGCAGGTATCACGAATCCGTTTAGAAATGTCTTCTATAGTCTGAGCGAAAGCCTGTATGCGGGAAATATCTACATCATCTGATAGGGAGGCTACCCTACAATCTCTGGTCAAATGATCTGCCAAACCATCAACAAAACGATGAAATCTGGCTCTCATGGAACGTACAATATCTGGTGCATATCTTGCAAAAGAATTAAACCTGGTGGCTATAATCCCTCACACTCATGGTTTCTTGCTTCAGATTGATAAACTGGTCAAGACGGGCCTCTTGAACTTCCCGTGGCGAATAGTGGGCAAGGTAGGCCTCAGATAAGTCCTCCCACTCTGCTGGCGGAGCATCAGGTCCTCTAGATCTCTCCCATGCCTCAACCAAAGGATGGCTACATCACGTAGCCGAAAATAAGCCAACTCCACAGCCTCTGTGACGGAGGCATGCATTACCCTCAATACTCTATATATATGGTCTATAAAGTCCTGGGGATCCTCAGCAGCACTAGATCCTGTAAATAACGGAGGGGCCAAATGAAGAAACTCTCGTACCTTCGAATTTTCTGACCGGTCTCTCTGAGTATCTACTCCTGACTCCAGTTGTTGCTCATGAATAGAAACCATCCTAGTCAGCAACTGAACTGCCTCTCTTATCCCCTACTCCCCAGAGATCTCTGGTGGAGGAACAATAGGTACTGGATGACCTGTGTCCCTAGCTTCCTCAGGTACCAATGGAACTGGTGAGGCTGGGGGTACTGCATCTCCTCGGGCTTCAACAGGTACCGAGGAGGCTGGTACTAGGGGTACTAGAGATTCACTATCCGCCTCCGAGGGAAATCTATCCATTTGACTCAGTGGGGAACGGCTAGTACCTTCCCTTGGATCCATACCTATCTATCGATCTGCCATAGCTGGAGTGAGTGTAGCCTGTTAGATAAGAAACATAAAGCACGATTTAGATTTCAAATGTTCTTATACTTTTGCACTATAGCACGATCTATTAGTTTATTAATATGTAACAATTCCTAAATGCTTCGTAGTCTCTTGATTATAAGTGTGGTGCACAACACACCCATAAACAAGACTCTACTAAACACGAGTTGTGGACCCCCCAGGATACGACCTGCTCTGATACCAAGTTTTTCACCCCCTAAAGTAGGGGGCGTAACTGGCACTCGATACCCTAATACATCGAGTTACCCACTGAAACATACTAGCTAAACCAAACTGTGAGACAAAAAGATTGGGCAGCACAACCTTTAAAAAGTGAAGCATAGACCCATAGGTCATGACCTGAATGAGAATAAACCATACAAACAATGGTAGACAAACCGAAAAAAAATAAAGATGTATTATCTAGCCGACGAGGCCAAAACCAAAAACATACCCACTTACACACACACATATATATACATGCCAAGGCTCTATGAG